AGAGAGAGAGAGAGAGAGAGAGAGAGAGAGAGAGAGAGAGAGAGAGAGAGAGAGAGAGAGAGATGAGAAGAGGAGGAGAACTTTAAGTATGCTTTGGGGGATCTTCCTAACAGTGCTCTGTGTTGACATCAGGAATCGGTGGGAAGTCATCACTCCCTACAGAGGTGACAGTGGAGACTCTGCTGAAGAGCGTAAAAGTGACTGGGATAGTTGAAGGAGTCCTGGAAGTGGGTTATCATGCTTCGGTCAAAATTGGTGGACATGTCTTCAAGGGAGTTCTCTACAACACCGGATTTGATACTGGGAACAGTACTACTATGGGCACAAGCTCCAGTGATCAGGCTGCAGCGCATTGTCAAGACCTGGGGAATCTGCTTGCCCTCAAGGGGGGCCCTAGCGCTTCCCTGCTAGAAGCTGCAGGTCTATATGGCCCTAGTGCTGCCCTTCTAGGCAGTGGGCCAAAGTCAGGGGTTTTGTCGGAAGATCACCTTGCTGCCAATGTGCAAAGCATGGTGAGAAGGCTTTCTCGAGAATGGGCACATATGAGAATGATTGAGGGAACCCCAGGTGCAATGTGGGAAAAGAACACTCACAACAAGTTTGCAAGTGAGTCTACTTGATAATATACAAGTGTTGAGTTCAGGAGAATCACCGTTCATCTTCAACTTCAAAAGCCGTGGTCCCACCATGTGGGAACCTTCAACTTAGCAGATGAGTACTACTATTTTTGCAGCCCAGCCTTTTGCCAGGTGATTGCACCAAATCAATCTTCACAGGTGAAATGAATTTTTCCACTCCCTGAATGTGGAAAAGGGGTCGGTGTGTAATTCAGGAAAAAGCCTTCACGCAGTCCCGAGCAGTTTATTTGATGAGACATGTTCAAAGAAGGTGAAAAGGCTAGGACTCTTCATGTCCTTCCCTGGGAATACGAGCACTGCGAAGCAGAGAAATCTACTGTACTGCTTACCTGAGGCCGGCAGAAAATGCTACTGCTACTCCTATAACAGGGAAGTCGGAAAGGGCACCATGTACAGTGTTGGAGCAGCATACCACGTTCATAAGTAGTGTATGAAGCAAGCCTTCTTCTTCGTCGTCATCGTCTTCTTCTTCTTCTTCTTCTTCTTCTTCTTCTTCTTCTTCTTCTTCTTCTTCTTCTTCTTCTACTACTTCTTCTTCTTCTTCTTCTTCTTCTTCTTCTTCTCCTCCTCCTCCTCCTCCTCTACTTCTTGTTTTTCTCCTTCTTCATAATCCCTGAGCTCGTTTTGCTCTCGTATACTTCTTATTAATGATATTCTTTATTATTCGTATTATACGGGCTCACTGTTGGTGTAAATGATATGGGTGTGTAGTACCTGCTTACCGACGTTCTTGAGGGATTCTTACTCAGCGTCCGTCATTATCATCCTTAGCATCATCATTGTCACCACCACCATCATCACCATATGTATCGTCACCGTGATTGTCATCATTACTGTCACTGTCAATACCAGTCATCATCATCACCATGACCCTCATCATCTTCATTGCCGTGGCCATCTTGCAGTACTTGAGGTGCAGTCTTCTTCTTCTTCTTCTTCTTCTTCTTCTTCTTCTTCTTCTTCTTCTTCTTCTTCTTCTTCTTCTTCTTCTTCTTCTTCTTCTTCTTTGTCTTCTCCTTCTTCTTCTGCGTCTTCTTCTTCCCCCCCTCGTTTTGCTGTTGTCTGCAGTGCTGTTGCTGGAGGTGTACCAAATATCTTGTTGCTACTCGTCCTACTCTTACGACTCCTACGGGAACCCCTATTCCTACTATCTCCATTTCATTTTCCTTGCCTTTTCCCAGGGAGGTAGTCCTAGTAAAGCAGCGTCATCAAGCATTGGTGTAAGTGATGTGAACTACCAACCATCATGGGCGGAGAGGAAGCGAAAATTTGGAGGGAGGGAACAAGTACATTCTTCTTCTGACCAAGTGGGATTCCGCCACTCAGACCACGCCTCAGAGCTGGCACACCTAACATCGCTGCATTCCGACAGGAAGATGTACAGCTGAGGTGAGGTTTGTTGTGAATGTGATACATGATAAGCATGTGTCCTCTGAACTGTCATTCTGGAAGCCAAGGAATTTTTGATTCTCTTATTTCTGAGTTAACAATGGCCAGCTGTAGCACCATAGCAATGTAATGCCAAAAATTTTGATATTGTTATGGCAGCTGAGCACAAGCCTTGTAGGCCATGTATGATGTTCTATCAGGGGACAGCTTCCACAAGCGGCCCAACACCTTGCCACCTGCACATGTGGAGTAAAGTTGCGTAGTGTTTTGTTCTTCTGTTCTGGCAGAACCTTTTTGCTGAAAGCAGGCAAGCAGCTGAGAATGGTGAGCACCCTATTAGATGGTTGGAATATGGACAGCCCTCTGCTGATACGGAGGGCTTCTTCCCTTACTGCTGCTGCTGCTTTATCTTCTTCTGCACCTTCAACAACCTGCTGCGTCAGCGACTCTTTCCTCCACATCCTCCTCCTCCTCCAGCACCACCACCATCACCACAATGGACTCAAAGGGAAGTACATGAGAATAGGACATCATCAGTACGACAAAGTAGCCCTTACTGCGCACTCACTGCACTTCAGCAAACGTGCATCCTCTCTATTCGGATATCTGTGTTTAGCGAAGGCTATTCATCCATCTAATATGTTAGTCCTTGATGATAGCTATAACTCGTTGATGTATATGATGGGGACTGATGTTCGCGCACTCCCATTCCTTGATTCTTTGTCTCATGCACAGCACATACATTATAGGAATCCGGCTAGACTTGCTGAACTGTGGTGATCTGCAGTCACTTATCGTAGCTACAAGAGAAAGGAGGAATTGTTGCAGCATGGAGAGGGTAACAGAGTGGAAGAGAGTGAGGGTGAGGCAAGCAGCTGTTGCTCGGTGAACCCTATTGGTCACAGTGACATTTCTCTGTGAGAACAATAACGGATTGTGGAGTGTGTGGACCTCTAAATTTCTTTTTTCCTTATGTAGGAAGCATGCTTTCGCGACATGGTTGCGGCTGACAAAGAAGGATGCTGAGACTTGCCCAAGTTCTGGTGTACATAAATTGTTTGTTTACTCTGTGTTGATGATGACGATAGGCAGACAGACAGACTTACAAATTTTCAAAATCTCAAGCACGTCCACTCCACTTCAGTTGCACACTTGATTGAGATGAGATCACACTGGGCTGAAACTCCACAGAAAATCGTAATTGAATAGTCACATACACGATAGTTGAGTAAACCTGAAAAAGGTGATGGAAAATTGAAGGCCCGGCCTCCCTGAGCAGTATGCAACAATCGGCTCGAGAAACTGTCCGGTGAACAGCAAGTTCTCACTGGCTATGGCTGCACTCTCTCTCTCCTTGAAGTGGCGTGTCTCTTGTCTCACCAAGCAGCAAAATATGACGAATGAATTCTGAATGAGGGTTTTGCCCCAACTCGTCACTTTTAAGGAGCAGCTAGTTGCCTAAGCCTACAGTGTCCGCCTACCAATAGAAAAGCCTCAAACTACCAGCCCAAAAGATAATACCACTATGCTAGGCAATTAGGGACTGTACACACAGGTCCCAGGCTCAAACTCATCTGCTTCAGCGCAGTTAACAAAACACAAGAAAAAAAATAACGGTTCTTTCTTTGTTTGGTCCCTGGTTCAAACCCAGGCAAGAACAAAAATAACAAAAACTTGAAATACAGCAGATAATGGACAGATTGCGGGTTCAAATTCCGCAACCCCGAACAGTCCCCCTCTCAGTTCGAAGCTGAGAACATTGCAAGCTCCGCCTGAAAAGGGGTTTTGCATTTGCAGAAAAAAACAAAAGACAAAAGACAAAACTACACGGGAGTCTATGGATAACATGAAATCTTGAAATTGCAGGCTCCAGAATCAACTGCTGCATTTATTCTCCCGAAGTTGCCCCTCGTACTAGCTCAGCGCGATCGATCCTGAATTTGACCCCGTAGATGATGCTGGATCTTCCTCTTCGCTGTCGCACCAGCCTTTGCTCCACAATTCTGTCAATGTCCTCATATCCATCCATGGCGGGAGGATGCATCTTCCTCCTGCCTGCAAGTTTTGAGGCCATGTAAGACATCAATTTGGAAGCATGAAACACAGGATAAGTCTTCAGATGCGGAGGTATGTCCATGAGGTAACAAGGTCCATCAAGATCATCACCAACAACATGCAATATCTCCCAAGGTTCGCACCACTTCAGTAGCAGTTTTCTGCAAAACCCTTCTTCAACCGCAAACGCGTCCATGCTCACCCATACCACGTCTCCCTCCTTGGAGGTAGAGGGGCAGCGTTTCTTATTGGTTTGATCAGCCATTGCCTGTTGTGCCTTCTACATACTTGTGACCGACCCGCCGGGATGGCGGTCTGTCGGGATCAAGACGGAGGGATGGGAAGGAGGAGATGGAGATGGAACTGGAGGAGACAGCGCAGCTCCGACGCAGACTCAACACGCACGTACTCTAGACTGTCCAAATGAAGAATGAATGGAAATACAGAGTGCAGTTGGAGTATACCCCCAGCGGACTGACTCGACTGGACTGGACTGGACTGAATATCCATGTGGCCTATGAGATCAGGCCAACAGCCTGGTCCCATTGGTCGAATAGGCAAATAGCCCTGGCTATCGACTAGGGTGCTAAAGGCACGTTGCACAATCCATAATAATGTCATAAGGAAAAGCAAATGTCTGATATACACATCCTAGCTATAAGCAAGGAAATAGAATGTAGCATGATACAATCCTAAAGTTTCAGAGCCTCAGTGCTGAAAGGAAAAGACAGCAAAATAGCACAAGACAATGTCGTGTCGCTGAACCAGTAAGAGTGGGATGGTCTCAGAGGGGGTGAATGCACCTAAGAACCAAAACTCCTAGGGGCAATCACACATAGAGGTGGGGTAGGTCATCAGGCTCGGGTCGGGGAAGAGGTAGTGAAACAAAACCAATGACCCTAACAGATAGATCATCAAGGCAGGTAATGTTCGACAAAGAGGTGACGCCATGCAGGGTCGATCATGAAAAGGGAGTCCGGGATAAGGGGGATACGCCTAACTGAAGGCATGCAATGACCGGCACTAGGGTGAGGAGGGTGGTGGGTGAGGGAAATATGCACACAACTCATCGACTTGGAGGGATCCAGATTTAGGAGCAGGGAAGCCAAGATAACGCTACGGTCCCAATGCCTATGTGATACCAAGGGAGAGCCCAACTCTGCGAGAATCAGCTAAATGAGAATCATTATGCGACACACATAAGGGAATGTACAGGGTAGGATGGGGGCATGAAGTAGTCAAGTCCAAAGGAGCCGAAGTTGATGAAGTGGTTGAAGTCCTTGAAGTAGTTGATGACGTTAATGAAGTAGGAGTCGAGGTCGAGGTCGATGTTGAAGCAGAGCCACAAAACGCTGCCATCCGGAGGAGAGTTGATGATGGAGTACTTGATGGTGTGAGTCGGTGACAGAAAGAAGGTGATAAAAGTGTTAGTCGTCGAGGTGCCGAGAGCGACAACGAGTGCGTTGTGGACATGTGGAGGCGTCCGTCTGCAGCTGAAGAACAGCCTTCAAGGGAGCGGGTTCGTCCTCAGCATTCTCCTTAGTTAGAGGAGAAGGAAGAGGGTCAGTCGGTTGAGCAGGAGCAGACGTTTGAGCACAACGAGCGGGATAATATATCCACGCACCAACATCCTGACGTGCTGCAAGTGCGCGAGGGGCTCCCAAGTAGCCTCCTCATCAGGATATCCCTTCCAGCACACAATATACTCCATCCATTGAGAGGTATCGTCGGTAACTCGGCAAGATACGATGTCGGAAATGATGAATTCCTCATGACTATCCACCGTGATAGGTAGAGGGCGCTCATAATGGTATCCAACAAATCATTCGGACAGACTGCGATAAGGACACAACAAGAGGACATGGTAAAAGTCATGCATGTGAACCTGTCAAAGGTAATCAAGCAGGTTCACATGAAAGTTTACCGGAGTAACGACAATATTAGAACCGACAGCCTGAGGGATGCGGTATGAGCCAAAGAAGTGACACCTGAACTCGTGAAGCGTATCCATTTGAGCTGCAAGTGGCAGGCGTCGATGAGCACATGATCACCGACTTTGAATGAATGATTCATTCATGATCGGTTCGCTCGTGCAGCCACGCGCGTCTTAACCAGCCACCCAGATCTCACTATAGTGCAGCCCCTCAGCCAGGGGGGTCTTCAAAATCCTCAGCAAGCTGCCACGTAGCACTGCAGATGGCCACATGTGCAGGCAACAGCGGCCACAGTCGGCGGTGGGGAGGGAAGGGCGGGGGAAATAGCAGCATACCCATTGTTGTCGTGACGCTCGTTGCTCGCCGCTCGCCAAGGGGGGGGGATAAATAGCTTGTGTGGCACTCTTCAGCACCAACGTGCCACACTACCAGCTCATACACAGAGTATGGGCAATGTGTTAGGACACTCGCTACACGCACATATAGCCAGCAGCTTCCCTGGTTCAAAACCTTGGCAGTTGCACTCCCGGATCTTGATAGTATAATTCGGGAGCGAGGCGGGACAGGGTAGCGGGGCGCGCATGCGGCGGCCTTGGCCTTCGCCTTGGCGCTTGTGCGCACACGCGTGTGGTCTCGTCTCTTTTTTTTCTGCCGCCAGGTATCCTGTCACGACACTCCTGATTTTCCCGTTGTTTTTCGTTGTCAAACCTCGAAAATGCCCCGAAATCCCGTCGTTTGAGATTTGTTGTTCCCACCGGTTGGGATTGGTGGGAGAGGGGAATGTTCCTGCTTTGATACCAGTTTGACGGACCCGCAGGGATGGCGTTCCGTCAAGATGAAGATGGAGGGATGAGGAAGGAGGAGATGGAGATGGAGCTGGAGGGGACAGTGCACCTCCGACACAGACTCAACACACACGTACTCCAAACTGTGCAAATGAAGAATTAATGGAAATACAGACTGCAGTTGGGGTATACCCCCTCCGGACTGACTAGACTGGACTGGACTGAATATCCATGTGGCCTGTGAAATCAGGCCAACGACCTGGTCCCACAATCTGAATAGGCAAATAGCCCTGTCTATAGGTCAGGGTAGCTAGAGGCCCACTGCAATACTTTTGATAGTTTGTCAGAGTTCTTCAACAAGTATGGTGAACTATGTCTTCCCGGAGGGTGCTTGAGTTGCTGGTCTGGGACAAGAAAGTCCAAAGGCATGGGGGGATTTCAGTCATAGTCCAGCTCGGCAGGTATACACGATGGTTGCATGGTCTACAGAACTGTTGTAAACACTTGGTACCTTGGCCAAGTGTAAGTCTCAATCAAACTGATCAGGCCAATTAGATGTCGCAAGAATTGTTGTACAGTCCTCTTCATTCACTCAACCTGGCCATCACTCTCCACTCCTTCAGCTGAACTCATATTAAGTTTGATGTTGGTGAATTTCATCTGATTCTGTCATAATTCACTTATGAATTGAGAGTCGTTGTCACTGACAATGTCTAATGGAAACCCAAAATCCCAAGCCCAATTATCAGCAAAGAGGCGAGCAATCTCCTTTGTTGTGGCAGACTTCTTCATACAGAAAAGCCTCCCATGAAGTCCATAGAGATGGATCTACCTGGTATATCGAAAATTAGGAGTGGCTTCAAAAGACCATATGGTCTTTGCACTCTTCCCCTCGACCACTGACATATAGTGCAACTATTCACATACTCTACAACATCCTTTCTCATTGTGGGTCAATAGAACCGCTCCAAAAGTCGCACTTGTGTTTTCTTCAAGCCAAATTGGCCTTAAGCATTATGACACTCTCCCTATACATTGAGCCACATTTATCTGTTGGAACACACAACCGCAGCACATCTCTGATCTCTACATAGAGCAGTCCCCTCTACATTGTATAACCAGAAACATGATTCGGATCTTTTTAAAAATCTGCAATTATTTGGCTATAGATAAGGTCTTTAGAGTACGTTGTTGCGATCCGGTGCACCAACTTATCACTCACATTCATTTGCGACAAGATTGCTGCAAA